TCTCGTCCACACCCGTTAGCAGTTGAACTTTGCTTCGCCCCCTGCTGTGAGCTGAGCATAATTTCCTACACCTGGCCTTGACCATGTGACGTGTGTGAACCAATGGGATGCGAGCAGACCTTCGTGGCCAGGCGAGGATGAGCGTTTGCTGGTGCAGAGCTACCACAGATGCCTGAGAAGTGAACGCGTTTGGCTACTGCTGAGTTTTCTTGATTATTTTTTAAGTGATTTATTTATTTCTCGTTTTGCCTGCATGTGCCTGTGCACCACGTGAGTGTAGCGCCCATGGAGGCCAGAAGAGGGTGTGGAACTGGAATTACAGGTGGTTGTGAGCTACGGTGTGGATGCTGGGAACCAAACCCAGGTCCTCTGTGAAAGCAGCCGGTGATCTTAACGACCGAGCCATCTCTCCGGCCCTTTGGGGGTTTTGTTGTTGTTCATTTATTTATTTATTTATTTATTTATTTATTTATTTATTTATTTATTTATTTATTTATTTATTTTGTGTGTGCGTTTGTTTTTGTTTTTGTTTTTTCAAGACAGAGTTTCTCTGTGTAGCTTTGTGCCTTTCCTGGAACTCGCTTTGCAGACCAGGCTGGCCTCGAACTCACAGAGATCCTCATATACTCTGCTCTGCCTCCCGAGTGCTGGGATTAAAGGCATGCGCCAACATGGCCCAGCTTTTTTTTTTTTTTTTTTTTTTTTTTTAAATAACGCCGTCAGCTATAGTTAATGGATTCGGAACCCACCCAGCCAAGTCCCAAACCAGAACTCTACGGCAGGCATTCAAGAGGCCGGGACCATCGCCAGGGCCTCCAACAGTGAAGGTGAGATCTGAACCCAGCACTGCGCCCTCATGGCCTCTGCCTCCCTGTGGAGGAGGCTGACTGTCAGCTGCCCCCCAGCCCCCATTGCTGTCTTGGCACCCTGTCCCTCCAGTGACTTCTGGCTTCCTGGGGGGGGGGCTCATTGGGGGTGAGTATGCATATAACATGTATGACGGACGCTGTCCCCCAAGTTTAAAGCTGTCTGAGAAATAACGGATACATAAGCAAAGGGTCGGGTCAAGTGAGGCTGTGCAGGAACTCGGGGGATTTTATAACCCGTATTGGCCCGGGCCTGTGGCTCCTGTGGATGCCTCTGTGCTTTGATTGGGTGATTAAGCAGCCCAGGCCTCTGTGCCTCCACTTCTGACTGGGCAGAAGCATGGACTTGAGGAAACTCCTGAGCCTTTTATTTTTGAGGACTCCAGGGTCCCTGAGGGCAAAGAGGGGGATTTTCCTAAAGGGGGGGTGGTGGGGATATGCGGCGGGGAGAGCGGCTGGGAGGAGGGCCGTGGCCAGCAGAGATCCACAACCCAGGGATTGAAGAGCCAAGGGGGTGTGGGGAGAGGCCAGGCTGGGAGTGCCCTTTGTGGAGGAAGGTTCAGACGACGGGAAGCCGGGAAGCCGATGACCAGGCAGAAGCCTGCTGTGTGTGAGCCTGAGGCTGGGCCTCCTCTTCCTCATACACCCTGCTCTACACAGTACGGACACCCCCACCCTATGACTATTTCCTCACTAGATGTTGGTATGGGAATAGCCCTGTGGCCCAGTTCTGATCCACAACGGGGCAAGTCTGATGGGGGAGTGGGAATTCTGGGAAAGCAGGAGAAACAGGAAGAGATGTGTGTGTGTCCGTCCGTCCGTCCATCCATCTGTCCCAGCTGCTCCTCACTGGTGGGTCTGGAAGTGGTGACTGGAACTGTAGCAGCTATCTTGTGACTAGGAAGGGAGGCTGAGAGACCAGACCAGATTGTGCTGGTTTGAATAAGAATGGCCCCCACAGGCTCGTGATTTGGATGCTTAGTCACCAGGGAGTGGCACTGTTTGGGAAGGATTAGGAGGTGTGGCCTTGTTGGAGGAGGCGTGTCACTGAGGTTGGGCCTTGGGATTTCAAAAGCCCATGTCAGGGTCAGTCTTGCTTTCTCTGCCTGTGGACCAGGATGTCGAACTCTCAGCTTCGGCTCCAGCACCATGTCTGACTGCTGCCAAGCTCCCACCACGGTGACAGTAGATGAAGCCTCTGAAACTGTAAGCCAGCCCCCAGTTAAGTGCTTTCCCTAATAATGCCGTGGTCATGGTGTCCCTCCACAACAATAGACTAAGACAGTGATGGGAAGGGCATGGGGTCCCTGATGACACCACTGAGCTCCTTATGACCCAGCCAACCTCTGGGCTACCCTGCCCTTAAGGCATCCTTTGATTATGTGAGAGAATACGTTTCTTTCTCACCTTAATGAGTGAAGCCATGGTCTCTGTCACTCACCACATAGGTAGGAAGCACAGTGTTTTAACTCCATTTTGTAGAGAAAGAAGTGAGACCCCCATAAAGGGAACCACTCCGGGACACACAGTGAGGATGTGGCTGAGGCAGGATTTGAACCTGAGTCCTGTCTTATTACAGGGTGCGTTTTCTAGTAGCCTTCTTGGGAGTTGCGGGAGGTGGAACCCAGATCTTAGAAGCAAGCGCTGTACCACTGAGGCATATCTCCAGCCCCACAAAAGTGTGTTTAAATTTAGTGTCTCAGGCCTTTACAAAGGTGCTGAGGTTTAACAGCTGGTGCTCCAGCTGTGGTCACATCTGGGGCCTCCTCAGAAGAGGCCAAAGGAACACGACTTGGGAGAAGCCTGTGTTCTCTCTGTGAGAAGAAGGTGGCCCAGCTTCTGGGGGGTTTAGGATCCAGTTGCTGTGTGATCTCAAGCAAATTGCCTTCCCTCCCTGGGCCTGTTTGCCCCTCAATATAGGGGTACCCACCTGGGTGTGCTAGGACATGCCGGTAACCTCAGCATTGGGGAGGCTGAGGCAGGGGGATCTTGAGTTCGAGGCTTCCTGCCTCGAACAAACAAATGGGTGTTCAGAGTGGCTGCCCACGGTCCTCCCCTTCCTAATAGGATGCTATCAACCTAGATATGAGGCCCAGCAACTCCTGGTTACGGTTGGATTCAAATCCTTGCTTCCCTGCAGCTCCTTATGAAGCCCGGTGTTACAATTGGGGAAACTGAGGCCCAGGGAGAAGGCCCTCATTTATTTTCCTCCACTGCAACACAAACACAATTTCCTGAACAAAGTTTTGTTCCCTGGGACATTAATAGAAACAAAAACTTAAGTTCAAATGTTGCCTGAAGGGCATCTAGCCTGCAGGACTTTTCAGAACCTTCAATATGCCGGTGTGGTCTGCGTAGCTCTGGGGTGCCGTTTCTTGTTTGGGGCAGTGCTGGGGCTTGGAACCTAAGGCATTTAGACTTGGTGTCTCTGTTCCAGTTGCTGTTAGTCCCTGGCTGTCCTGATCGGGTAAGATGCAGAAGCTGCCCCTTGGTGGCATTGCCAGGAGTGTGGTACAGCATGCCAGGACATGAGCAGCTAGGAGCAGAGATGGAACGGGAGGGCTTCCCGGCAGCCTCGGCAAGGGGGCTGTGGGCCGTGACTTTGCTGTGGGCCTCACCAATGACCTGTGCAGAGCGTGCTCCGTGCCAGCGGGGGCTGCTTGGTCCTGAGCCAGCTCTGACGGTCACCTTCCATGGCTCTGGTGGCCTGACCTGTCCCAAGGCTGCCCTGCAGTCCAGGGTCACCGTGAAAGCATGGGCCAGTGCCACAGCCTGGAGAATGCTCTTCAGGTCAGCCATCTCAGCTCCCAGAAGGGAAACTGAGGCCTGGGAAGAAGGAACCCAGCCACAGGGCAGACTGGTCTGCCCTCCTATGCATACTCCTGATGCTTTATTTCATCACAATATCAGGTTTTTTTTGGGGGGAGAGGGGGGAGCCCAGTTAAGAGCAGCTCAGTGTAGCAGCTGGGGCTCAGACCCTGTCCAGCTGCCTGCTGTGGCTTTAGGTGGTGTGGAGCTGCCATTATTTTCCAGGTGTTCCTCGGGTCCTGTGTCTGCGCTGGGAAACGGGTGTGATCTTATTCCTCACCTGATTGGGCCACTGAGGTCACTGCCGATTCTCTGGGTAGCCTGGTCTCCCACATCCCCCTGGGCTATCAGATATACCTGGCTCGCGAACTTCCCACGGAAAAGCCTGGTCTTGTCCACACGTGGCCACGTGGAGGCTGTTCCCTCTGAGTGGACTCTGGGTTGCTAAGAGGCTTCAGGAGACTGCAGCCCCAGCTGAGGGCTTGGCTGACTTGGGACATTCTTCCCTCTGCCCTAAGCCTCACCACACCGGCCAGGGCTCCACGTGGGGCGGGAGGGCTGCCTCAGACTGGAGGTCCCATTTTTTTTCCCTGGCATAGGTATGTGGCTCTTGGACAGGAGAGGAGCTGGAGACAAGCATGGGTGTGGATAGGGTGCAACGAAACCCACATGCTGTGGGGTTGGACCCCTCTTCCGGGCTCTCATCCTGCTGGGTGCTCTGGGCTCACACCCCCCTCCCCCACAGACTGTAGGACAGGTTTCTTGTCTTTCTCCATGTGGGCACCTGGTCCACGGCATTATATCCTTAGGCAAGAGACTCCCACCTTCCAAGAACATTGTGAGTCTCTGGCAAGTCCCAACTGGTCCCTGGTGAATGACGAGCTCTCGGTGACAGGATTGACAGGGTATGGGTATGTGCCAGGTGTCTGGCCCAGTGTCCTCTGGGCTGGCCAGGATGATGGCAAGCCTGTCCCCAGCTACTCTGCCACCATTTAGGCTGGGAGGATGATAGACAGAAGCTGGGGAGCAGCTTATGATGGGGCGGGGGGGAGTGGTGAAACCACCCCAGCCCTAGAGAGAGCTTTGGGCGCTCAGGTTTGACTCCGAGGTCTTGTTCCTGTGGATGGACCCTGGGCCACCGAACGTGACGTAGAACGCGTGGGGGCAGCACCCAGCTTGGAGAGTTTTGTAATAACTTGGGCATGGAACACAGCGTACGCCACCCTCCCGCCCCACCCCTGCAGGCTCCCTGGGGCGCCCTCCTGTGGATCCCTGAGGGAGGGAGCCAGCAAACAGCTTCACAGCGAGCTCACAGCTGAGACACCATCTGTTTTCTTTTCTTTTTTTTTCTCTTTCTCTTCGTTTTTAAAACAATATAGTGCAGGCTGCACTTCTCACAGTAGAATATAATGGTCAATTTTTAGTATAAAAAAAACATTCTCAGAGATTTGTAAATGCACTTAGTGCTTGGACAGGCCTTGGAGAGATACGGTACCGCTTCCGGAGCGAGCGCCGGGGGGCCGGGCTGGGGCCGGGGGACTGCAGGCCTTGACGACTTCGTGGGTTCATCTACCTCCCCTCCCCCGCCCATCTTACCCCCCCACAGCAGTGCAGGCCAGGCCTGGGGGTGGGGGTGGGGTGCAGAACAGGAGCTGGATTGGGTATTCCAGTTATAGCCAGTAGGTCACCCTCTCACTAGTTCCCAGGAGACCCCACACTGGAAGAAGGACAAGATCGTCCGTGTGAACGGAGTCGGAATTTAGCCCCTGTGACATCTTTGTGCGAATAGGGAAATGGTGGCCCTTCCTCGGAATGCAGACAACTGACATAAATATACAAGTCTAGGATGCAAGGGGAGTCTCCCTGGGCAATGTGCCCTTGTGCAGTGCACCGGCTGTTCCCGGCAGCCCTATAAGGTGTATGGGAGGGAACAGAGAAGAGGCTGGTCCAGGGTGTAGAGAGGAGGGTGGGGCGTGATTCCTATTAGGAAGGATGGGGAAGGGGAGAGTCAGGAGGAACAGGGGGGGCTGGTAGTCCTGAGGCCTCTAGGAGTCTGGAGTCAGAGTAGTCTTTACCTGGATTAGTTGGTGGAGGGGGGGCACTTTTGGACCCAGGGACTTCCTATGGATCCCTTCTGCTCCTTTTCTGAGAGACTAGGGAATTGTGGGTAGAAACCCAGTGCTGACTGGAGCACCCCTGGTCTGAGCGCCTCTGCTGGAGCCCCAGAAGGAACTTCCTGTCTGCAGAAGGTCCTCTCTCCCTGCCTCAGTGGAGGAAGGACAGTCGGGCCTTGCAGGCAGCCCTGGACCCCCCCTGCTTCCTGGGGCAGCAAGTTGGGGGAGAAGCCCTGGTATGTGAGGTCAACCTGCCTGCCTTCCGCAGCAGCCCGGACGGAGGGGTAACCAGCCTGTGCCGTGGCCTGCCAACCCCCAGCACCCTGTCCATCTGTCCGTCAGTCCACGTGCCCGCCGGGCGGGCAGACCTTATCTGTAGACAGGCAGGCGGATGTGGGCGTGCTGGTGGTCCAGCAGCCGGGGCACGGCCACCGTCTCGTACCCCTTGCCCAGCATCTGCTCCTTGATGCAGGGTGGCCGGATGTCATTGATGAGATACTCCAGCGACTGGAGACTGCTGCTCAGCACCGCGGTATTGCACACGCTCTTGCTGGCCAGGCCGGAGAGCGCGTCGGCGGGAGGCCCCGCTAGCTCCCTGGCAGCTCCTGGCCCCAGCTCTGTCACTGCCGCCGCCGCTGCCGCTGCCGCCGCCGCCGTGGGGTTGTAGCAGTCGCTGGTCGGCGTCACCAGAACACTGTTCCAGGGGGCCGCGAAGTACTGACCCACGGTGAAGCCGGCGGGCAGCCCCACGCCACAGTTGTGGGGCGACCCGTTGGCCCTCTCGAACGCCCGCCCGCCACACGTCTCGGGGGACTTGCTGGTGACAGTGCCGCTTCCTCCGTAGGCTCGGAGTGCCTGGGGCGGGGGCGGGGGCGGCTTCTGGGGCCACAGCAGGTAGTCCAGGCCGCCTTCGGCATACCCTGCAGGCTTGGTGGCCCCAGCCAGCGTCAGGGCCGACGTGGCCCCCTGGCTCAGTTCTGTGCCTTTCCGGCAGTCCGGCAGACCGGCCGTGGCCGAGTAAGCCATGCTAGGAAAGCTGGGCACCGGGCCGTGCTTGGCGGGGCTGGGGTGGGGCACAGCCACGCCCTGACAGGCGCTTGGTGCAGCCCCCGGGGCCTGGCACTGCTGGTTGAGCTGGCAGAGGAGGCTGTGGATAGAGGGCAGGTTGGAGGGCGGCAAGGGCAGGCCCCGGCCCGGCAGAGGGATCACCGAGGTGGCGGCGGTGGCTGCCGGCAGGCTGGGGGGTGGGGCGGGTGCCTCGGGTGGCTTCGGGTAAGCCAGGGGCCCCAGGGCGCTGGGCACCGGGTAGGGTGCGATGCCCACCCGCACGGGGGCCGGGGACAGTTTAGTCCGCTTGCCCTCCACACTCTTCAGCACACTCTTGGTGTGCCCCGCAGGCACGGCCGAGCCGGAGGAGGAGGAGGAGGAGACCGCAGCCTTGACGATGGCCAGCAGGCCCTGGTAGCCGGGCGCGTGCTGAGGGTAGGGGCTGTAGCGCTGGCCGCTGGTGTCATAGCCGTTGACCGTGCGGCTCAGGTGCTTGTGCTGGGGCACCCGGATGTTGGTGGGGAAGATTTTGATGGACAGTGGGCTGTTGGCCACCTTCTCGGCATAGGCATCCAGCTCGGCTGGGCTTGGGTAGCGGGCGGAGTGCATGGAGCTGGCCACTGACTCGCCTGCAGGGAGACGGAGGCACAGGTGAGTGAGGCCGGCGCCCGCCGCCCCTGACTCCCCACCAGGGCTCCAGGAGCTGCCCAGTCCCCTTCCTCTCTCACACTGGTCCCACACTTGCAACTTTTGAACCAAAGCGTAAGGTTCGTAGAGGACACCGCACCCATGCACAAGGTTGAGGTACAGGCCCCACCCACCACAGGCCCCACCCACCACTGGCCCCACCCACCACTGGCCCCACCCACCACTCCTCGGCCACAGCCAAGCTTGCCGCCTTGTTTCCTATTTGCAGCAGGGTGTGTGTGTGTGTGTGTGTGTGTGTGTTTGTTCGTTCCAGGTGGGCCTCAAACTTGATGCATATACAAAAATGACCTTGAACTTCAGATCCTGCTGCCCCTCTCCCCCAAGTGCTTGGGTCACAGCTGTGTGCCGTCACGACCTGTTACGCGGTGCCTATAATCGAACCCAGAGCCTCACGGTGCCAGGCGAGTGCCCGACCAACTGAGCATCCTCAGCCCCACCCCCACCTCTGGCGACCTAGACCAGCGGGGGCTGGGTGCTCATGGTGGCTGGCCCGTTAATACTGTGTGTGGCATTCTAAATGGTGAGACTTAACCCACTATAGGTGGTCACAACTGTCTCGGCCCTGGGGGAGGTGAGTTGCTGGTCCACAGACCCCCCCCTCCTGGCGTCCTGAGCCATTCCAGACCAGAGCACAGCCCAGAGCTTCCTCTGAGGCAGGGGGACAGGGAGGCACACAGGAAGACCTGTACGGGTGCTGGCAGGGTTGGGGTGGAACCCTGGTTATGTGGGCCCCAGGCAAGCTGTCTGCTTAGGCACGCTTCACTTCTCCCACTTGTGGAATGGGGATAATAATGGTGCCGGTCAGCAGGGTGACCTCAGCAGTGCCTGAGGGGCCCAGTGGCGTGAGTCACAGAGTGGGTGACAGGACATCGTAGCTCCTGGGGGACCTCGGGGCTTCACCATGCTGAGCCTCCCTTTCCTCATCTATAAAGTAGGGCAGTGTTGCTCCTAAGGCTGCCTCTCTCTCTGAGGGTGGCTGTGAGGAGTTAGCAGGTCCGTGTGGAGTAGGCGGTGCCGGAGGAGACCGGTGTTCGAGTCCGGCCCAGGGCAGGGCCTCCTCGGAGGGACAAACCCGCGAGGTCCTTTCAATTGCAAAGTTCCTATCTGTTCCTCCCAGGGCCCTGACCAGAGTGGCCCTGGTCCAGCGTCAGTCAGGATGATGGTTTTCTGTGTCGGGCAGGCTGGCGGCAGCAGAGTCAGCCTTCCCAGACAGGACTGCCAGGGGCAGCTGGGAGAGGTCGGGCCAGCCGGGGCAGCAGCGCCTGTGCACGTCAGGGCGGCTTCTCGCCACACTGCGCACTCCAAACAGTTGAGGATACGTGCTTGTCACGACTAGGGGTCTGCATACTGGTGGCTTCCAGTCGGTAGGCCCTCTCGGCTGCTTCACACCTCACACCCCACAGCACACAGAAGGGGTGATCTGCCCAGCCCCTCGGGCCAGCAAGGCCCAGGTGCAGCAGGGTAGGAAGAGGAGGTGACATGGGACAGGGAAGCATCCCTCTATCTCCCCATCCGTCAGGCCTCACCTGGGTCCAGAAGGTAAGTCCACCCCTGACCCTGCTCCGGGCATCCCCAGCTCCTAAGTGGCCTAAAATAAACTTGGTGTGGAGAATGGAAATGTCACTTTGGCCAACGGGGGAATCTTTCTCTGCGATTGGATTTAAACTACATTATACAAGCAATTTCATGGGCACTTAGCACCGCTCTGAGAGTCCCACAAAAAAAGGGACCAGCTCTTCATTTGCCAGCCATAAATCAGCAGTTGCTATAATGAGCCCAAAAATGTCACTTTTATGCAATTTTACAGATGAACAAAACTGGTGAAATTAGCTGTGGAAACCTACCAGACTCAGCAAAAGCAGCTGCCGGGAGGGGAAAAAAATGATAGCCGTGTGTATTTTCGTTCCCCTTAAACTCTCTTTCCAAGCAAGTGTCTGCCATTGTGGTGTGAAAACTCATTTGTCCCCCGCATTATGCTTTCATTCGGAGTTTATCTTGAGTATCCAATGAGCCACCAACTGTGAAAATGATTAAATCTACAAAATCTATCTAATGGATGGAATAAATTAGGTGTTCAAAACCTTAAGAAAGGAGAGGAAATGCCTACTTCCCTGGTCTTCTTACCAAAAGAGGGCGCACCTTGCCCCGATCTGGTTAGTGGGCGTCCTGCAGGTGGTAGCTCTCGAGGGCGAGGCGGTCTGGATACAGAGCCTCGTGGCCGGCACTGGCTAGGTACAGGCTCTGCAGCCACCATTTTCTGGGTGGCTTGTGTACAGAGGGCCAAACAACTGTGAGCGGGTGGGGGAGGCATCCCTGTGATGTACATAGAGATAGATGGGTGTGACGTGTGGCAGCCAGCCTGGAGACCCGCCTCCTTAATGATTCCGACCAGCTGGCACTCCAGCCCCTGCAGTCCCCAGGACCCACACCGGGCAGGGGTGACCTGTATAACCAGTAGGACCCTTTGGAAGGAAACATGGTTTTCTGCAGTCTGGTTCTCCCACAACACCCAGGCGCACAGGGACCTTGGGGAGGTCTATGGGGGTGAATAGAGGCCTTGGCCACAAGAGTCCTGCTCAGCCCCAGCTGAGCCTCCTGAGGGACCCCGAGTAGACACTCAGCCAAGCAGCCCTTGGGTTCCCAAGTCCTGTCAGCCACAGGGTGTCGTCACCTGATGCATGGTAAGATGACACACATCCCTGGTGGGACTGGAGCATGTCTGAGGGCCACCCTCATGAGCCATTCATCATCCAGCTGCTCAGGGTTGGTGTTTGGTGGGCGTCTTTCAGGCCGTGGCGACAGCGAGGCTGGAGTCCGCCATCACGGGCCTGGTTAAATCATGGGCTCCGCATACGCCTTTGAGATGGTATCCCCACTTAAAGCCTTGGTCCCTAAAAAACTTTTTTTTCTGGCTACCCCCGAGTGCTTCAAACACAGCCTCTTCTACAGTAGACCTGGCTTGGGACCCTAGGCTACTTGGCTCCTGGGCCCAGATTGTCAAAGTCCCAGTCACAAGTGCTCATATCCTCCCACGGTCTGGAAAACAGTGCCACAGGGAATAGGGAAGGGTCCTCTGGAGGGGCTGGGGAGCTCTGTGACAGTGGGTTCCTTAGGTGAGGACAAGGGGGAGGTGGCGTGACCCCACTGGGGAAGCCCGGCACCACCACCACCACCCCCGCTCCCCCCCGCCGCCCGTTCCAGTTGGTTTTTTGGAATCTCGGTGGCATCTGTCGTCGCTGAAGGGGGTCACAGTAGACTGACTGCAGCTGGCCTCGAGAGTCAGGGCTTCAGCAATGGCTTTTGCATGGCTGAGGCTCCGCTAACCACAGGACACAGTGGACGCTTGAGCCTGTCCATTCTGGCTTGAGCCTGTCCATTCTGGACCGTGGCCACCGCTCTGCCTGCCAGACATCCACCGTTCCCTGGGCCGTTCACTGTGCAGGCCGTGAGGGGAGGAGCCAGCACCCTGGATGGAGATGGCAGGCAGACAGGTGTGGTGGTGACGTCCACATTCTTGGGCACGTCTCCCATAAATAGTGGTACCTGGTTCCCCCTCGTTTGGCATGACCTGGACCAGTGGCTTCATTATATTGAGAAGAATGGAGTGTGGGTGAGCAGGGGGGTGAGACAGGGGTCTCTCTATGCAGCCCTGGCTGTCCTGGAACTTACTATGTAGACCTCACAAAACTTCTCACAGAGGTCCACCTGCTTCTGCCTCCCGAGTGCTGGGATTAACGGTGTTCACTACCACTCGTGGGGACTTGGTCCAAGGCCACGTGCCTGCCACTTGGACCCAGCTGTGTGGAGAGGCCCCAGACAGGTATCTTGCGTTCAGAAGACCCTCAACGCTTCCTCCTCCATCCCCGGGAACATCATGGGGCAGCTTCTCACTGTCATGTCCAGGGCATAGTGGCTGCTTGGCATTGACTCTGGGACAGTTTGACACGCTGCCCTGGGAATCGGCCGTGAGGCCCAGTGGACTGGAAGGGCTCGTGGCTTGGACCCAGGGGCCAGTGAGGAAGCAACCTTTGAAGGAGACGGGGGAGCTGTACAGGCTCTAAGCAGGGCTCAGCAACCCGGAGTTGGGTGTTGGAAACGGAAACATCCAGGCCACTGTGGCCAGCTGGTGTGTGCTTCATCATGTGACAGGCTCCCATCCATTATGAGTGGGGTATAAAATAGTCCCCTGAAGGGCCCACGTGTTGAAGGCTTGGTCCCTGTGGCTGGTGCCACAAAGCAGGGTTGACGGGGGTCTTAACGAGGGCACTAACAGGTTAACCCACCGATGTGTTCATCTTGAGTTGACCAGTAGGTGGGCCTGGCTGTGGGCGGCGACGGGGGTATGCCTTGGAGTATGGGCAGCAGGTGGGAAGGACAGGCCAACTGAGCACAGAGGGGTTTCTAAACCCCAGGTCTGCCCTGTGTACCCCAGGTCTGCCATGTGTACCCTCTGTGCCGCTGCCCCTCTCCACGCCGGGAGTAATTGGCTTCACACTGCTCGAGCCCCGGAGGGTCTTGGGAGCAGGCGCAAAGGACTGGCCTTCCTGGGTGTCCTTGGCCGGTGCCAGTGTTGACAGTGACTTTTTTTTTTGGAAGCTCTGGTGTGACACTCCCACTCAGCACCTCTGTCAAAGCCTTCACTAAGATGTGCTGTTCAAGGCGACGGTGGAGGTGCTAGCCCCCTGACCCAGACTTCCCTCTGCAGCCTCCTCTCTGGTGACAGGCCCTGAAGGCACACACACAGTGACACACAGTGTCACGCTTTCCCCTGGGTCAGCCACGGTGCCCTTGCGAGGCAGCTTTGGAGGAGGGCCCAACGCTCAGAAAAGGTTAGGCGTGCAGGGTTAGCCTCCAGAAAGGGTGACCTGGGCCGCTTCTCCCTGCTCAGCTCTCCCCCGATCCATCTCCATCCAGGAAGCCCCCATTAACGGCTTGTCTGGAGATTTAAAAGGCTGGCAGGAAGTGCCTGGCCGACTGTCGCCGCTATTAAGTTAATGTTATGGGCCTTTTACAGGTGCGTTAAATAGACGCGGTTATTAACGAGTATATTAAGCCAATTAAAACCAGCCCTCTGAGTGGGGTTTAATGTTGCCTCAGGGAGACGAGAGGGCTTCACTGCACTTGCCGCCAGCAGCGGCAGGGGAGGGCAGGGGAGGGAGGGCAGGCGGGCGGGCGGGGCTCCACGGTGGGGACCACAGAGCAGAGAAGCTAAGTGGTGGAGTTGGGTCACGGGCACCTTGATGGTGCAGACCTCGGGCAGCCTGCGTTCTTACCAGCGTGGAGCTGAAGGGTGGGTTCCAGGGGACTTGGGCATGCAATGAGATGCTTTTTTAAGGGTGAGTGGGGGGCCGCCATCCCAGAATGCCCGGCCCTGTGCTCCAGATGCCCTGCAGGAAGTGGCCTGGGGGACGGGCCGTTTTGTGAGGTGTATCCTGGGGCTAGCCTGCCTTGAAAAGAAATGAGGCTTTGGGAGGGCAGGCACCTGCTCGGGAGCCTGGGGCTGGGGGCAGCACACTTGGAACTGGGTCCTCCCCAGGTGGCCCGGCCCCCCTCCTGACTCATGGGCACATGCCCTGGAGCAGTAGTTCCAGGGGAACCTTGGACTTGTGGGTACAGAAGGGTGCTAGCTGTCACTCTCCCACAGGCGTGGGAGGGGGGCGATGGCGTCAGTGACATTCCTTCCTCTCTTCCGTCCAGCCCCTGCCTCTCCACAAGGGACCAGGAAGTCCTAGGGCACCGCCCTTCATCTGCATTCCCCTTCACTGTGACACCATGCCCTTGGAGGTGGCAGCCTCCTGAATGCTCAATTAACGTGACACTAATTAGCTGGTGGCACCAGGAGAATGCCTGATGAGGCCGCTTGGGGTCGGGGAGGGGGGGAGACGACTGGGCAGGGGGAGCAGCTGTTTTCTGGTCTTTATTGGGAAGGGACTCTAGCAGTCGTGGGGATGGATGGATGGATGGATGGCTGCTTGGCAGCATGCTGGCTGTCCCAGGGACCCCAGTCTGCTGCATGTGCTGACCCCTGCTGGTCGACCAGGGGATCAGACCCTGGATAATTCCAGGCGTGCTCTGTTAATGGCTGGGGACCTCCTGGTGTGTGTGTGTGTGTGTGTGTGTGTGTGTGTGTGTGTGT